CTTTATCAAATCCTTATATTAGCCATTTGTCTTGCTGGATTTCCGGTTACAGTTAATTATTTTCCTAACCAAAACTTTATTTTCTGGTAAATCTGTAATAGCAGTCAGTCACTTATCATAATATCCACCAACTACCCCTAGCTCCCTACCCCCCCAACAACACGTTAAAAAGGGCCATACAAATTGTACCTGTATCTACACCCCTCACCACTCCTGTATCTACACCCCTCACCACTCCTGTATCTACACCCCTCACCACTCCTGTATCTACACCCCTCACCACTCCTGTATCTACACCCCTCACCACTCCTGTATCTACACCCCTCACCACTCCTGTATATAACAAGGACTATATTTGTATAATTATGATCCTTGGCATATACTTCACTTTTGCACTCTCACGCGCAGCCATCATCCAGTTCATCATACCTCTCATCATCATCATCATCAAAACCCCTATACACCCAAAAGTTCTATGGCGACAGACGAATGGCGACGGGGACAGGCAGAGATGATGGCCGGGAGTCTCTCGTCACAACTCTGCACATGGGCGGCACAGATAAGATGGTCGTTTATGCACTGGGAACCAGGCAGCAGTGCAATCCGGTCTTGTCTATGCGATTGAGCAGCCCTTTCGAGGAGTCACTCTGCTCACCCCACATGGGGAGAGGGCTAGAAAAGGTGCCCTAAGTATAGCCTGCCCCCCAAAAAAACAACCTGACTGGACATCCGCACCCAATAAGGTCGTCCTTATGCGGTCGAAAATACAATCAAAATCACAGATCCAAACAAAAACAAACTATACAACCTACAACCTCTTGTGGTCATTGCATGGAATGTCAGGACCCTTCTGGATACTGGCACAAATAAGCGTCATGAAAGAAGAACCGCCCTTGTGGCAAAAGATCTGGCTAGGTATAACATTGTCCTCCTAAACAGACTTCTTCCTGAGGCGGAAAACTTCCTCCCAGAATCTCAATGTGACTTTAGACCATCACGTGGCATCACTGACATGATCTTTGCTGCCCGCCAGATACAGGAAAAGTGCAGAGAACAGTGTCGTGACCTGTACATGGCTTTCATAGACCTAACCAAGGCCTTCGACTCGGTCAACAGGGAAGCCCTCTGGTGGACCTTCAGCCATTTTGGCTGCCCACCAAAATTCATCGCCATTGAGAGGCAACTCCAAGATGGCATGAACGGCAGTGTCATGCACAATGGCACCCAGTCTGAGTTCTTCTCTATCCAAACGGGGGTTAAACAAGGGTGTGTACTGGCACCAACTCTCTTTTCCAGTTTTTTTGCTGCCTTCCTTACTCGTGCCAGTGCCAATTTAGCCGGCGGGGTGGACATCGAGTACCAAGTGAAGGGGAATCTATTCAACATAAGACGCTCACACTGAACGCGACCTACAGGAGATCCTGAACACCAATGCAGAGGCGTATGCGCACCTCGGCCTTGAGGTGAATGTACAGGAGACTCAGATTCTCTTTCAGCCTGGCCCTGGTTCAGCCACACTTCCACCATCCGTCCATCTTAATGGTACTACCCTCTCTAATGTTACCCACTTTCGGTATCTCGGCTCCCACCTGTCCACCACCGCGGACATCGATGAAGAGATTCAGCATCGGATCAGATGTGCATCTCAAACCTTTGGCAGACTCCGAAACCGTGTCTTCAGCTGTAGGAAGCTGAAATTATCTACAAAGTCATACGTATATCGAGCAGTGGTCCTCCCTACCCTGCTATTTGACAGCGAGACATGGGTCACATACAGGGGGCACCTCAAGGCACTTCAAAACTTTCACCAACGTAGTCTACGTTCCATCCTCCGAGTTCGCTGGGAAAACAAGCGAACATATGCCAGTATTCTTGTTGACACCAACTGTGGAAGCATCGAGGATACCATTATCCATGAACATCTTCGGTGGACTGGCCATGTTGCCCGCATGGACAACAGTAGACTGCCAAAGCAGCTACTTTACAATCAGCTAACCAATAGTAAATGTAACGCTGGAGGGGTAACTGAAAAGGTATAAGGGTAGTCTTAAGACAAACCTGAAAAGGTGACAAATCGCCATCCTCACCTGGAGACGATTACGCCACACTGTAACGCTTGGAAGATCACCACACAAGAAGTTGGCAATACTTTCGAGTTAGCACGACTGCATAACGAGGCAGACAAGCGCCAACCCGGAAAGACGCTGCAAAGTAGTTGTAGTACTAGTATGTGTGTGTGTGTGTGTGTGTGTGTGGGTTTCCAATGTGATTGGAGCACCACTCATTAGCTACTAGTCGTTCAGGTGGTTGCCCTGGTTAGTCTATCCAGTGTTAGTACAGGAGGAAACCGGAGTCCGGTGTCGAGAGAAATATCTGAGCCTGTGAAATTAGTGAGCATGAAGTAGCGCGGATGGAGCTTTGATTTTGTGTGTTTTTTTTTTTGCCATCTGACGCTGAGTACACCATGGCTGACTCCGTCAACGTATAGAGTGATAAGGCTCTGACATCAGAGAAGAAAACTAAGAGGTACACGGCCTCAGTAGAAGATTTTTTCCAAGCTTCGTTAATTTGGACAAGGCAGACATTACACGTTGAAGGAGTATTCCAAGCGCTTCGTGATATTTGGTGAAGAGGAGCATGGGGGCCTAAATATCACGAGGTATTAATATAAGAAGGAACGAAAGGGTTTGTGAGAAGTTAGAAAAAAAGTAAGATATGAGGGTTCCTTAGCCTAGGATTGAGGGGCGTCCACATAATATGTTTGCCTCTAAAACAGTTATTGTTTTTGTCTTTGTCGGCTGCAACAATAATTGTTCTCTGCTATTTAACTCCCAAACAGCCCAGAACAATCGTAGTCGAGCATATGCCACGCGCCCTTCAACAACATAGCGTCAGATGTTTCGAACTAGAGCTAAATATGTGACGCCCCGAGCATAGGCTCAGAAATTTCGCTTGACACCAAGAAACCTGTGCTGTATCGTATAGGGTCACACTGGATAACATCCGTCTCACGTGTGTCCACTGTACCACCAACATCCTGTCCATCACACACTCTTCTTCTTCGTGTCTCTAGTTTGTCCTCCTCCTCCTGTGGGAGCTTACTCCGATTGCTTAACCCCCTTCACTATCCACATTTTTTATTTGTAATATGAGTTTTCCATCTATGTGGACACACTAAAAAGGTGCCTGGAGATGACTGTATGCCTCCTGTAATGGTTTATAAGGATCTAAATCGATCGCAGACAGGCTAATGAGTAACGTGGTCCTATAAATTAAAAAGAGTCGCCATAGATCAGCTGGTAACGCTCTCGACTCTTCAGACCATTAAACGAGAGGTGGATCCTGTAGCTGAACGGGAACGGCTGGGCGTTAATATCTGTGGCGGGGACTGAGCCGCTCACTTCAAGCGCCCAGATTTTGTGTTACACTCTCGGCTGGTAGGTTTACAGCTGACAATGATGTGGGAGTCACTTTTGGGATGTTATCTTTAGTATTAGTCATTTGTTATCACCACAACATTCACCAAACTATATTTCTATAAAATTTACCTGCTGATTACTATGCTGTTATCACTATCCTTGCTCAGAGATCATCCCAATAAATTCTTCACATTTATTTTTTGCTCCGTCTCTTCTTCTCTTCATCCTCGACCATCCAGAATCCCCTCACATCAAGAATCTTCTCCCCTCACCCTAAACCATCGAAAGGTCTCTACCCAGACCATCCAGAACCCTCATTCCCTCACCTCAGACCATCCAGGACCAACACTCTCTGGGGCCCAGCCACATGCCACGCTTAATAATGGGGGAATATTTAATTATCGACGAGCATCATAAGTCTTCATGAACACACACTGACATCGGCTGAGTGTAAGAGTGACTGACTCTCTCATAATATATTCCTAGGGCTGACATGATCTCTGACGAGTGCTCGTATTCTCACAGAATCGTACCTTATTATCTCCCCTCTCCTTCCTCAAAGAGCACCTGGGAATGTTAGAACGCATTTGATGAGATCTTCTTTTTCGATTCAATAAAAAGACTGTGGCTAAAGTTGGGTCAAAATTGCCCCCCAAAACAAAAGCAAAACCAGCAAGATGCATTCTCTCAGTCATAATTTACGTGAAAAATTAATGCTTGGACAAATGCCGTAATTTTAGTAGCTAACAACCGACAGAAGATACCACGAAAAATGAATCAGTCTTGAGAGAAAATAATAGCCATCAGGCGTTCATGAAACATTCCGTAATTCTTAATGAGGATATATATTTTACGCCGATATTTCCTTGACAGTCAACCATACCATTACACTTTTTGGGACAGAGGACACATCAAACGACTTAAATACAACCAAATGAAACACTTTACTGTAATACGCAGAGTATATACAATTATCTCATTAAGTCGAGGTGATCACTGTTTATAAAAATCACTAGACTGTATTTCAGCGACGTGCTGACCCACGGTTTTATCTCATAAATTTTTAAATGTTGTTAGAAAGGTGAAATTACTAACCTTGTTACGCGTTTAAAGACCTTAGTTGTTGAAGCTCAGTAATAAAATTCTAACAACACACAACCCACGTCTATAGTACAATTTTGCACTTAGTGACCCCGTGGCTTGGCCTTTGACCTTTTGACCTCACAAGCCTCGTCTGGCCAGGGTATGTCAGAGTGGACTTATAAACCACGATTGATAATCCTACCACTATCTGTTCTAGTTATCATGATTACACACAAGACACACAGAAGCCCCGACTTCGTCAGCTTGGGTATTAAGTAGAGGGAAGATAACAAGAAATATAGAACATTATGAACGTGTGTGAGCATTTCTACACTCTGAAAATGAGTATTAATACGCTTTTCAGGATTTGTTTCTGAAAAAATAATTAAATAAACCAATGTCAATTGTTTAGTAAAAATTGAATACAGAGATTGTTACTGGACATATTCTGCATTCTGATCACTGTGTTATCCGTGACAGTATAGCAATACGTGTACTATGAACTCTCCCAGGGGCTCATCAGTGGACCAGACCCCAGGGCTATCCAGCTCAGGGGTCACCCAGGGGCTCTCTCGATTTCCAGGCCCTGGAATGCGCCAGGTCTTACCTACCACACATTCCATACCAAATAAAATCCCAGCGCCTACAACCTTCCAGAGGTCTCCTGGTGGCAGCAGAGCACCAGGTGGAGGTCAACTACGAGGTGCGGGAGTAAGCCACTACCCCGGCGCCGCCTCCAGGTTGTTTGGTGTTGGCCTCACACCCCAATATGGGAACTGGAATCTGGCTGGTGCAGAGGTTCTGGCCCCTACTGGGGCCACCTATGGACAACAAACAACAAATTTATCCAAAATGTCGTCGGCTTATGGTGGCTCGGTGACAAATTTAGGTACCTTCGGGCCCGGGTATGGTAGTAATCTCAAGACAGTACCTGGGTGTGGGCCATCCTCGGCACCAACATCTCCCAGGCCCTCACACCGCCCACGCCCTCAACCGTTCCACGAGCGGACTCACGTTGAGACTCAGACCAGCTTCCACAGTTCAGCATCTTCACCACAGGCCAGCAGCCGGCCACAGTCCCCGCCCACCAAGCTGGCACCGTCCCCAGACAAGTCACAAGAACTTGACAGTGACGACAATAACCATGGAAAAGATCACTATAAGCGCTCACACGACACACACACCCCGCCACTATCACCATCATCACTCACCTTCATGCCCCAACCTCCAACCTCCACCGCCAAACCTCCTCCCTCCCCCAAGTCTCCCACGGGACGTAGAATATCCCGCAAGCACACTCTCTTTAACTACGACATGCTAAAAAATGCTTTTTGTCTCTCCTGTCCGCCCGTGGGACTCGACTTCTCCTCATCCGTGGCTGCCAAATATCATCACCACCACGCCGCCGCAGATGACGAGGTAAGTGTCATGTGTCTTTGTCTGGGTGTGGAGAAGATGCGGGAGACACCACTCTGGCTAGTCCATTGCATTAGTGGCTTTCATAGGTAAATATTCTTTTATATATAAGTGGTAAGCCGGATTTATGATTAATGCTGTAAGGTAGTATGTACTAAGCCTTGTGCTCCCACTACCATTTTAGAGTTTTGTCGGTGTTCTTGTGTGCAACATAGGTGTGTCCTCATGCCATGTAGCTCAAAGAAAAATAAATTAAAGTCCACCGATATGTGCAACTGTGGTGGGGATGCTAATCTTTATGACAACTTAGAATTCGGTGATAATGATGAGATTTTAATTTTCATTCAGATCTGAATGACGATTCATTTAAGCCACTGTACTGTACTGTGCATAGAACTAAAGGTTAAAATTAATTATTTTCAGTTAAACTAATTGTAACAAATGTTTATTCTAAGTGTGTTAATACATTGATTATTTGTTTTTATTGGATTTATTACTTCAATTGATTGAAGAAATTAATTATTAATGTAAATATGACGAAATAAACCAAATAGCAATAATGGAAACGCCCGCCATTTTGTTTTCTAAATAACTCCACTCTGCCGGGCAGAAGAGCCGGGCACTATCAAAATTCGTCATCTACATGCTTAAAAGACAATGACATTTCACTCATACTTGTACGACTAAAAATCCCATTGGACTACATTTGCTGGCAGACTATAGTTTATTTCCATGAACTAGTTCGTCTAACCCTCATTTACTTTTAATAATCCCAACACCTCATTGCTCTTATGTCTTCACCATTCCCACAATTGTACAGCCATCTTTCTCTCCGGCAAATGCTTTGTTCTCCGTATCTTGTGTTTTGTCTGTACCTTCCTGACTGTTCCGGCGGATCAAAGCCCAAGTCAAACCTCCAGGCAGCCTGACGCTCCCGGGGGATCAATGTGCCGCACCTATGTTAGTTTCAGGCTATACTATACCGGCGACTCACTTTCCAAGCAGAGACTGTGTGTGACGCCTGTTTTACGGTTTTTACCAGGGAATGGAAATATAAGTCCCAACCCCATCCAAGTGGTCGGGAATATTGTAAAACCTACGACTTGATGCAAAATGTAGTTGTTTGTGAAGAAGTTTGTGAAAGCTTTGAAACTTTAAATGATACAAAGTCACGATGTAACTTTATATTAAAAAAATAACTATAACTCGCTGGTAGCCCCAGTATTTTGCTAATATAACCGTTATTTTTTAATCAATTTCCAAATTAATGAATGTTCGCTGTAGCATGTCAACTTTAAATGGTTTCAATCTCCCGGCGAATGTTTGTCTTTATATCATCAATGGAGTGTGGCTTATTAATATTTTGGAAAACGTTTCTCCCCAAGTGAGTGGTTCGTCAACATTCAACAGGGAACTTCATTAGATAACGGAAATTTCTAATAGCGGCCTCTGTCCGTCTCAGTCACGAGGGATGACACAAGGTACCGGGTGTCAAGTGCCATTGCCCTACACTTGCAGTCAGTCAACCAGCAGACATTGAAGATTTTGTCTAGATTCTTCTGTGGGAGTTAATTTATAAAGCACCACTTGGCTAGAAGCAGTTGTGTGAAAAGATATCCCATTTCTAATTAACATACCTCCTCAATGTTCAAATATTGTTTTCGGTATTACAGGCTGTTACAAGGTAACAGCAACAGTTATTTAAGAAAAGGACTGTCACTTAACCCTCTACTCTTTGTTTATCACATGTAGTGTAGCGGTCATGTTGAAAATGAGCCTTATTTAATACCCCTCCCCTCTTATGAACAAAACACACCCTGTTTTTTCTGTATGGTTTTGGTGTAAGAAGTGGGGGAAATGATGGTTGAGGTGATTTATTTCACAAGCCCATTATTAGGACTACCCCATACGATGTTGCTGGCTAAAGATGAAGTACAAACACAGACAATATACTGATCATTATCCGTGTGTTTTATGTACATGTCAGTATAGGAGATGTAAACAGGGAACCAATTACCAGATGAACAACGATGCCATTGAGAAATCCGACTGCGAGAGAGATTTAGGAGTAATGATAAGTAGGAACCTTAAGCCAAGTAAATAATGTGTTTTTGCTCGTAACAAGGCTAATAAAGTACAGTACTTGGGTTCATACAACGGAGTGTTAGTTACAAGACTAGCGAGGTCATCCTAAAACTGTATCTTGCTCTTGTGAGACCACACCTGGATTACGCAGTTCAGTTCTGGTCACCGTATTGCAGAATGGATATAGAATCCTTGGAAAGAATTCAGAGGAGAATGACAAGACTAATCCCGGGCATTAGGAACCTTGAGTATAGAGACAGGTTAAAGCATCTTAATTTGCACTCCCTCGAGAGACGTAGAGCGAGGGGCGACCTGATAGGGGTGTAAAAGTGGAAGTCAGGGCTAAACAAAGGGGACATTACAAAGGTATTCAAACTATCCAACCAGGAGCGAACTCGTAACAATGGTTTTAAATTAAGCAGATTTAGATTTAGGCGTGAAATAGGTAAACACTGGTTTGGAAACAGAGTAGTGGATGAATGGAACAAGTTACCAAATATCATCATTAACTTGAATACGCTGGATAGCTTCAAACATAGGTTGGATGCTCATATGAGCAATAGGGGTTGGGTGTAAACGGGACTGCCCAGTATGGGCCAATAGGCCCGCTGCAGTTTCCTCCATTCTTATGTTCTTATGTATCATCTGGAATAGTACAATAGCATGGTGGTAATAAGAACATCTCATAATGTTACCACGGTTATCACTTCAATATTTATTTATTTTTTTTATTTTTTTATTATTATTTTTTTTAGTTATTTATTTAGTTATTTATATTATAAGTATATACATAAATTACAGTGGAATTGAAAAACATAAGTATAATGGGGGAGCAGTACAACCTGGGTTGCACAGTATTAAGGCTGAACAAGAGGACAGAGCTGTCAGGATTATGTGTAGTTGGCAAATATGTTTATTGCAATGGTAATTACTTATCTATTTACATGATAATTTCCGATAAAACGGTTTTGATGGTACAATAAAAGCAGGCACTGTAAATATAGTAGGCATTACAAGAAATATTAATACTTAGACCATAGATATTTTTTTAGAGATGATTTAAAGGAAGGGAGCGTAGTCTTTGCTCGGATGGGTGGGGGTAAGTTGTTCCACACCTTCACACCGTGATATATTATGTAGGACTGGGACTGAGAGGAGCGCATGGGGGGTGGTCTTAGTAGCTCTGGGTGCCTTAAGTTGTATCTTTGATTATTCCGGAACTGGAAATAATTATTGTCAAGCAAGTGATTGACAGATTTGTAAACAAAGATGGCACAGCAGTAGGTGTTAATATCTTCGAATTTTAACATTTTCAATATAGCAAATTTTTCGTTTGTGTGATCTGTTTTTTTTCAATTAGGTCATTTTCCATACAACTCTCTTTTGTGCAGTAACCAGGGATTGTGTTTTTGAAGAGCCAGTGAATCAAGTGTTGGCAAATAAGATCATGATAAATTTCATTCATTGCTGTGAGAGTGAGCGACTGTCAAGTGTGATACATTATACCGCGCTGTTTATTGACTTTACTGTGAATGGTTTGTATGTGGTTTCTCCAGTTAAGTTTATCGTCAACAATAACTCCGAGGAATTTAGTATTTTGTTTGCGTTTGAGGACTGTATTACCAAGGTACAGGGGGTCCAAGTCTGGGGGTAAGTCTTTCCTTCTGTGAACGATCGTGTAGTGGGTTTTCTCAAGGTTTAAGGTCAGTTTATTATGTATTACCCAGGTCCTGACTTTAGTCAATTTAGTGTTCATAGTTCTCATCAAGGATTGGAGGTCTGAGTTGCTGGCATAGAGATTACTATAGTCTGCAAATAAGTTGTATTTTATGAGTGTGCTGGCGTGGACTATGTCGTTTATGTACATCAAAAACAGTACTGGACCGAGAATGGAACCTTGGGGGACGCCATACAAAATTGGCGAGGACTCAGATTGGTGATTATTATAGCAGACATACTGCATCCTGTTGGACAGATATGAGGTAAACCAATTATGGGATAGGCCCCTAACTCCGTAATGTTCAAGCTTTGAAAGGAGGATGGCATGGTCGACAGTATCGAAGGCTTTAGAGACATTGAATCTCAGCAGCCATTTTTTCGACCATTCTTGGAGCCCACAGAGGCCCTTCTGCAGCTCTTCACAGTCCGCTTGGTTCTCGATTTCCCGAAATAACTTGGCGTCATCGGCAAACATTTGTATGGAGGAGTGTACAACGCCAGGCATGTCATTTATGAAACAAACAAACAACAGCGGGCTTAATACACTGCCCTGTGGTACCCCGCTTGTGACAGGTACGGATGATGATTTAGTGCCACTAATCACCACACACTGCTTGTGGTCATGTAGAAAGTCTTCTATCCACGCTAGGGCATTTCCCCGAATTCCGTCCCCTTCCAGTTTTATTTTCAGCCTTTCGTGGGGTACACTGACGAAAGCCTTAGCAAAATCTAGGTAAATATTGTCGATATTATCACCCGTTCCAGAATATGAGACACTGAATCCTCACACTGGTCATAACTCCTGATGATTCATCTTTCACACAATTGTCATTAACTAAGTATTTGTGATTCAGAACACGATAAATTGTAGACAGTTACAGAAACAGTAATTTTCGAATTTTTTAACATGGTGAGACTGCAACACTGGCTGAAAGGAAGCGAACACGATAATGATTTCTTTTCCCTTGGACAGTGGTGCAGTACAGGTGACCCCCCCTCCCCCCCTTGATACATGCACATGCACGGAGAAAGAACAGGCACTCGTATAAAGGTGATCGAAGCAGGGTGACTGAGGCAGCGGCAGGAGGGTGGGGTGTGAGAGCTGCCAGCACCGCCACCAGGCACTAGCCCGCTGCGCCCGGCTGCGGTGCTGCCCACCACACACAGATCAGACTCAGTACATTGGTGATTCTGGTGGAGGCAGGACGTACGTGGCGTGGCTCCGGGAAACCTTGTCTGGCTCGCTTACTAACGTTGTTTACCGTTAGTTATTACGCTTCCGAAAAATCTTCGAATTTGTTTATTTTAGAATTTAAAGTCCTACTCTCCCTGAAATCTGTCCGCAGATTGTATGAACTGATTAAATTGTTTTGATTATTAGTGGAATGATGAAAAATTGATTGAATCGATTATTATTAGCGTGACACTCAAAGAAAAAACGGTAGGATTTTTCATCACAGTGTGCAAAATAATTAGCAAACAAATATTAAATTATTTATAATTTTCCAGATTCACTTAATTCAAAATCAATCCCTATGACTGATCAAAAA